GTTAATTATTATTATTCGCACTCGTATTAACAAACAATGCAAAGTTACCAGTTTAAGTTTTTTATTCCTTGATACGTTGTATCATTGAGTAACTCTTACAGAAATATATAAGAATTTATAGGCTCATGAAAATAAAAAGCTAAACCGCAGCAAAGTGGTAAACTAAGTATATTTTGTTTTGTAATAAGGCAAATTTTTTTATTGTCTTCCCTTGGTAATTATGTTAGGTACAACTATAATATAATTTACTATTAAAACTTAAAAAAAGAATTTAGCAACTTTCTAAGTTACAAAGACTAATGTTCCGTTTAACTATCAATTGCTTTTAAAAATAAAAGTTGTTAAGACTCCACGTTATACTTTTCTAACCTCTATTAAAATGTTTTTAAAAATTATAGTATGTTTATTTAAACTTGATATATTAAAAAAGTATTTATTTTATTTGCAGAAGAATTATTAACGCAAATTTTAATTTATGTCAAAGAGAATTAGGAGCCCATACTTCTTTCCAGTTTTTAGATACAGAATAAAGAAACCTAAAAGATGAGAAAAAGTTCAAAAACTAAAAAGCTCCTTTATCTAAAATTTAAGTTGTTTGGGGGGTATACAATACTCAAATTTCAATTAAAAATTAATAAATCAGGGTATTGAGTATATTTCCTCTTATATCACCTTTACTTCTAAAGTACAAGATTTATTTTATAAAGTAGTTAAGCTCCTACTTGGCCCAGTTTAGGATTCTCTAATTCTTTAAGGTTAATAAATAACTTAACGGTATTATGACCATTTTATGGCTATTTGTTATTTTTAGTAGTATAATAATTCTAATCTTATTTTAATTATCTAAATTGTTTACAGTTTACGCTTAAATCAGCCAGTGGCCACGTTGTAGCCGTTTGAGTTGTTTGAGAAAACTGAAGAGATTATTTACTTTAAACAATAATTCTTTATGTAAATAAGGTTATTATGATTTCGGTATAAAAAAAATTTTCCTGTAAATTAGCGTTAACACAGTTAGCATAAACAAATATAAACCCCCAATTTCAACTTGTTTGCTTCACGGATTCATAATTTCAAAAGGGTAAATAAATTTAAAAAAGTTTCTAAAGTTTTTTAGAATCGTTGATCTTAATTTTCAAAGCTATGTTTTAATTAGTTTTGTGACGATTCATTGAGACTGTATACTATCCCATCTGCAAAAGATAAAAGTCTTAACTGCGATTATAGTAAAGGTAGTTAAAGGCTAGAATGGATATTAAAAAATAGAGAGGGAGAGAGGAGACCTCCGCTTAAATTCCGCAAAGGAGCGACCTTACTGGATTTAACTTAACTTAAAACACGCTTTCTTGAAAAAAAAATTAGTTAAAAAAAAAACAGGCCCTAAATGCCGTATAATACAGCTTAATTGGCTTTGAGAAAGGTCATGCAATCATAGCTTCTCTTCACTTAAATAATAATACCTTCCCTGTCTCTCCTTAAAGTTTGCGAAAACGTAAACTAAGCGCTATTAACAGAAGAATACAACTACGAAACTAAGAATAACTTGTAAGTAAACTATGCACTGAACATAATTTTATACTTTATAAAGTTTCAAGTCTCAGTGTATAAAATTATCATGAACAGATATATCAGCTCTGCATGTTAGAAACTATACCTTATATTAACGTTAAATGATTGAAGTATTCACCGCTTATAAAATATTTTTTGAGTTTTATATTTAGATAAGAATGCCTTTTCAGATTCCTAGCTAGCTAATCTTATTCCATATATAAACTTTAATAAAATTAAAAAGAGGCCGTATATACTGTTAAGATTAAGAGCATTACCTTGCCGACGTGCCCCCAGGAAAAAAGAAAGAAGTTAGGGAACCTCAATAAGTTTTTTATCCTCAAAGACCATAACATAGAGCAGCAAGAAAGTTTAAACTACTTTGAAAGGCTAAAACTGCATTTTCCTAAAGTGTTCATTTACTCGGCCCTAGGATCCTCATATCTTTTATTATTATTTTTTTTCATAAACACCGGCACACAATATTAGTTTGTATATAGAAAGTAGTGAATTTATAAAATAAATACACAAACAGAGCTAGAGATGAATGCCTCGCAAGGAAAGCGTTTACTGGCCGGTTGTCATCTGTATTTATACCCTTGAAGAATTAAAATTATTTCCATATACACTATCCCTCACGAAAGAATGGACAACGGATTAAAGTTGATAAATGGTAAAATAATTGGTGCAATTTAATTAAGCCAAATAAAATAATACTAGTTGCAAATTCTCTGATAAACGGACAAAGTCATATTTACAAGTCAATGTAGAAATTCTTCTCTAAAGCAATTACCGCAAACACTACCCTCAGCATCCTGCCACTAATTTTTTTCAACGTTTTCTGCCAAGTATTGTCCCACTTGCTTTGAAGAACCCTCCACAGGTTTTCCTTTGTCATACGTTCTTTCCTGGCCGTCTTATTGAATTTATCTTGCCCGAATTATTCAAGTCCAATCTTTAGGAGAGACCACGCCATAATTTTGAGGGTGGTTTCCTCTTCTTTGTCGGTGAGGAACGCTTTGAACACCCTAGAGGAGTGTTTAGGATTATTGTTCTGCATATAAGTAAAATTATTACCGAATAATCGCACTCCCGGGCATACCGCATTAGTTTTCAAGATTTAGAGATAATTTTTTTCACGCTTGATCCAACAATTTGGATCATATCTCCGAAACCGGCAAAAGAGAAACAACCCTAAACTAACAAGGAGGAGTTCAACTCTCAGTTTCCTGATTCGCCTTCCTCGGGTTAAAAGTAATCAGTTTAACGGTAAAACTCCTAGTTTCGTCCTTGGTGCAAGTTCTATGTTTCTTGTTAAGTATCTTAGCTTTTATAGGAGTTAGTCTAGGGATTAAGCACTAGTTTTTTGAAGGTATTTAAAAAAATTTGTCTTTTACTCCTAATAATTTCTATAATAGCAGTATGCACGATTTTAAGCCTACACAAATTGTATAATGGTAATACCTTTTGTTCATAACTAAATGATTTGAGTCTCAGTTTCCTTCTTGAAGGAAACTGCTTCTATAGTTAAGAGGTAAAACATTACTCCGTCACAGTAAGATATGTGGTTCGATTCCATTGGGAAGCAGAGCTTCCAATGGGACAAGTACTTGGCTTTAAATTGGTTGGCAAGCCGTCACGGCAACATTTCTCTCGTTCTACTCAGGGGAATAATTGGTCACTATCTTAACTAACACCTTAATACTACCTTGCTCATTCCCGTGTACCATTCGTGTGGCTTAGAGCCGAATGACAGTTTATCGGACTTTGGTTAAAACCCTCATGGTTAAATTTAGGGCTATTTTGTGAGAATGATACTCGTATCGATTTCAAGACGCTTTAGGACTAGCTTAAACTGATTCTTTCATAGAATTGATGGGTTTTTTAGGGGGTGGGTAGGAATTATGGCATTCTCCTTAGCTAAGCCTTAGGTTAAGGTTTGAGCACCACCCATGAGTGATAAAAAGACTTACACTCGGTTCGAAAGAACTATTATTAAGAAACCTGAAGTCGGTGCTAGCCTTTTGATCCTTTGAGAGAATAATAAAGATATGGGTAGGGAAGGGTTGGTGAAACGCTGTATAAGAGAAACGGAAATCCTTCTTTTCTCGTTACCTGCGCGTGGGCTCCCTCTTCCTCTCTTTTAAGGGTCTCGTGTTCAGGAAACTTGGCTATCGCCGCGACTACAGCGAGGTACGGGTCGGCGATCCTTTAAAGGTACAATTTTTTCAGCTGTGTAGGTGCTGGGTACAATCTTAGAATTATCAGCTCATATTTTGCGAGCCCCGTGATAGCCAACAACATTCTTTAGTAGAGCGAGGTTAGCTTTTCATCCCTAGGTTACTAAAGTAAAGCGGCCGAATAAAATCTGACCTATATAGACGTGTCTCGCTCTGCATTCATCCCTGGCATCTTCCTGTAGGTAGAAATATCAAAGGCTGAGAAAAGGATGCCATCCACAAGGGAAATACAGGGAAAATACATGTTAAATGCAAGTCTTCTTCCCCTTTGGTCATGTTGACCTCTACTGTTGATAAGGTTTACTTAAGATCTTAGGCTATTGCAGTTCTCTAACGATCTAGGTATTGAGCGACCTTTAACCATGATTATGGTAAATTCCTTTGAGTAGTAGAGAACTGAGCGTTGGCGTGTAAATAGCGATGGCTTATATTCAAGAGGGCGAAGCTGCAATAAGAAAACCGGTTATACCTTCTACACTTTACGGTTTTATTTTTTTAATCAAAAAATTATAGCTGTATTTTTTAAAATTATTATTGGTTTAGCCTTAGACTATCAAAATCTTCAAAAGAGAGTTACCGACATTTGGAACACTCTCGAATATTCCGGTTAATATATAACCTGAACACTATACGTTGAGCATTAAATATAAGAAATTATTTGTTTTCTTAACCATAACCGTGGCTTTTGCAACTTTAATTCTGTGCAATAATAAGCTACTGCTTTTCTTAAATGTGCGGAAATCACTGGTGGGGGTGCTTATGAGTACCTCTCGCACATAAAGCAGTAGCTTATTATTGCAGAGAGTTAAAGTTTCAAAAGCTACAGTTATGGTTAAGAAAACAAATAATTTCTAATATTTAATGCTCAACTTATAGTGTTCAGGTTATATATAAACCAGAATATTCCAAGGTGTTCCAAATCTCGGTAACTCAGTCTTGAAGATTTTGATAGTCTAAGGCTAAACCAATACTATTTTTAAAAAATACAGCTATAATTTTTTGAATAAAAAATAAAATTTACTAAAAGGTAAAGGTATGATCGATTTTTTTTATTGCAGGTTTAGTTATTCGCAAATAAGCGGTGGGTATTTTTAATAGTAAATATTGTAATTAAATTCTTATCTTTACAGCATTTTATTTCATTTAAAGTTGTAAAAATAATAAGTTATTATTTTATAAAAGAGGACGAGAAAGACCAGTTAGCAACACCACCAGCCATGTTCCGCACACTTCAATGAAGCAGTAGCTGATAATTACACAACAGAAAGTTTCACAACCCAGGAAACTAGTTAATAGAAAAATATCCTTGTAGTTGACGTTTAGTTTATAGTGTTCAAATTATATATTAACCTAAATTTTCATAATGTTTCAAATCTTAAAACGGTTTTTTCGATAGATTCTATATATCTAAACTTAAAGCAGTGATAATTAAATATACAGCATATAATTTTTGGTATAAAAAATAAATTAAAAACCGCAAAGCTTAGCATATTTGATTTTTAAATTGCTACGTGTGCATCTTCAAAACCGTCTAGAGCTTATGTTATCATAAATATTATAAATTATTATTAAATTCTTACCTTTACCGTATTTATAGCTGTAAAATAATAAGCTACTTCTTTGTAAGAGTGCGGAGCAAGAATTTGCTGGCTGGTGTTTGTAGCGATGTTTCATTACATTAGGCCAATTTTGGTAGGTGTCCGAGCCCGAATAAATCCTTCTTTTCTAGCCCTTTAATGGGCAGAAGTTGAGGGGTTAGACCTTTTTCCTCTCACCTATACCCTGAAAGCTTCATTGAATATGCTCTAATAACACTTATTTCACACTCAAGTTTCTTTATATATTATCACAAAGCACTCTCTTTTTACACTTACACAGAGCATGAAAAGAGCTTCCGATTCATCAAGGAAGGTTTAAGTTAGACCCTGTATTTTGTTTGCTAACTACACATGATGGGCCACCAGAAACTCTCTCATGCGAACTTTCACCTTGTCGCTTCCTGTCTGAAATAGTCTAATAGTCTAATAATCTATTCCAAGGAAGCACTCTCGTTTCGTTTCCTTGCCCGTGCCTTCTATTCGGCTCCGTCAAAGTTTGGCGGGTTACTATTATATACCTGAAAACACTGGTGGCTTCCCTCTGTCAATCTCGAGAAAAAAGTCAGAGATAGGTATTAAACTGGGGCAAGATCCTTAAATTGAATTTTATTTTTAAGAAAATAAAATATTTTCCACTTGTTGACGGGAAGATAATCTCAAAAAATGAAAGTAAACAACTTTTCAACCAATCCAATATTGATAAATTTATAATAACTAATTCTCCAATTAATTATTTGTAAAAACAAGTTTTTTAGGTTTTCAGATGTTTGGAAGCTTAAAGAGCTTTAAGCCGGATATTTCTTCTTGTTCATGAGCACAGATATTATAACGAAAAAACCTCTTTTTAATATCATAAAAGTTATATATGGATATAAAGATAACAAAGTATTTTTGGTTATTATTTTACTTGAATACTTCTTTCTCTAAAAAGTGGTATACAGTTTTTCTAGAACCTATTTAAAGGTACAGTTCATTAAGGTTTTAGTAATTACTTTTATAGATTCTCTTTGAAGTTTATTATATTGGTTTTTAGTAAGAAGTCATAAATCCTCTTTTCGATTCCTGCGAGATAGAGTTAGATGTTGCATCTCTTCATTTCTATTTAGACTCATTCTTTATTTTTCTTTCCAAATGAATAAATTTAGTAGAAAAATAAAACTTTGATAAATCCCAATGCCCATTTTAGTTTAATACATTGTGACTTGCTAGATAAAGTAAGATTGAACTTACCATTCTTTTAAACAAATGGACATTGTACCTTCTATCTAACTTTTATACAATATATTACACGGTAATTTATATAACACCAAATATAAAAAGTAGTTAAAACTAGAGCAGCGGAATCACCCATAGGAATATGTATTGGTAAAAGATATTATTGGGTGGATAAAATAAACATGTAACAAGAGATGGTTCGCTTTATAATATATACAGGAAAATTTTTTATAGCCTGAAGAACCTTATAAAAGTAGTCTTCAGAATTTCTTAAGTTTTCTATTGTAATATTTGCATAAAACTACTTTCTGACTAACTATCATATAATGTGTAAGTGAAACAGGAATCATGTGCAGTTAAAGTTCAGTATAGACAAAAATAAATAAAAAATTAATTGTACTGTGAACCTGAACGCAAGCGGCAAAACAAGAATTCGACGTGTAGAAATATCGTATCGTAATGCTAGGCAGGAATTATAAAAGGGACAACTACGAAGAACACATTTTTCACAAAAACTTTTCAGGCAAAACAGAAGAGCCTTATGGAACAACTATAGAAATAATCCCGTATGAAACACTACAAAAAACACAACGTTATCACATAAGACGAAAAAAATTCACAGACTCGGCTTGTCCGAACTTAGTTTAATTTTACATCCGCTCAATCTATATTCGTTTTCAACGTGCTCATCATCACTGAGTTTACAGTTCTTGCTCTCCGATAAGTTTTCGAGTCAAAATCTTTGACAATTATAGGTTCACTCAGAGGTACTACTTGAAAAGCAGTGAATACTAATTTTAACGTTAAACCTGCGTTGTCATTTATTTAGATCTATAGATTTCCATACAATTCCTTAATAAGTTATCTTCGAAAAATTCAAACTTCTTTATATTCTTTTTTCGGTCTTCCCCTAAAAAAATCTAGAATCAAAAAGATACGAAACTTTTTCAACAGCTTTTCTCTTAAAAAGGCATTAGAAGTATCAAGTCTTTAAGCATCTACTTGAGTTAACGTTCGTTCGACACAAATAGTTCTAACTGAATATCTTTTTAAAAAGAAGCAAATTTATTGGGGCTACTGTAGTATTTTTCGATTCCAAGCTTTAAACCAACCACAACTCATCCGTGTCCCACCCCACCCGCGGAAGATAAACTGTGGCTCGAAATTGACTTAAACAGAGTAGCCCTTCTTTTCTCGATAGCTAACTGCATCCCTAGACATAAAAACAACTTCGTAAGATTTATCTCTGAACATACCTTATATTTCACTTAGTATCCCCTCTTTGGTTATGTTAAACTTATTAGAGCAATTTCAGTTATATACCTTTAAGTTTCAAGTAGGAGCTGCCTTGCAAGGAAAAAAAGACTGTAGTAAAGTAATCTCTAAAAAATTACATTTAGCCACGCTTAGAAATACGCTTTTAATCTTATAAATTTCTGAAAAGGTTTTATATACTCGTCAACAATCACCTGAACAGCCCCACACCTAGATGCAGACTCCACAGCTATAACCCTTTCTAAGTGTCTCCATTAGAGTGTTCAAGGTGTTCAGCTCTTCCGCGCTCTCTACATTGATATTTTCGATAGTTTCTAATGGAAGAATTAATAATTCACTCAATTTTTGAAAAGTGCGTAGAAAGGGAGATGAAGTGGTTTGGGCAAAAAGTGCAGGTTAGGGTCTCCTTTAACCAAAATTCTCCTAGAATAACTTCGTTAATGACGGAAAAATAATGAAGTTCTACTAGATGATAAAAACTTTCGAGACCTTTTTTAAAATTATACTAAAAATTCAATGGCCTGTCAGGCGAAAATCAGTTAACTAAATCCAAATACCCTGGGCCCTATTAATTTTCTAAAGCTACTAAGGGGGCGGCCTCTGATTTATTTTGGTCCCTGAATACTGAGAAGACAGTTCCCTGCCAAGATAGGAGCCATAATGGTCTGCCCAGAAATAAAGATCCAGAATAATGAGGATAAAAACCTTTTTTAAGGGACTTGAAGCATTTCATAATATTGCTGTAGCAATTAATTTTATTAATCGCTAACCCTCCATAGTTACCTTACTTTTTTTATAGAAGAAATATCCTTATTGCAATCAACGACTTGTTCACAAGAAAACAACTAATGTGCACTTCTAGTGCCAGTATTTTCAAGAAAGGTTTCAACAAGAAAAAAGTAGTTTCATCCCTTTCCCCAAATAACTCTATAGAAGGGCCCACTTTTAACTCTTTAAAATGCTTAGGAGCAATGTACTTGTTTACATTCCTCAAAAGCTTAATTTTTTCCTTGCAAAACAATTGTTTGTTATTGAAGCCTTGAAAGCTCTTAATGCCCTTGTCTCGTAACAACTTGATCAAAGCGCCGTAACACTTCTGATATATGCTGTCCCTTATTTCTTCAATTCCATAGTGATTATTAAGTCACCAGAGGTCAGATTTACATAAGGGGTCACCTTCTTTTAGCTTAAACTTAAATTCTCAAAGGGCTTGAACAAAGTATGAGCAATCTTCGTAACGTAACTTACCGAATTTGCTGAAAACAGAAAATATATTAAGACCGATATAAGTGTACATCATCAAAAGTAAGCAGAATGCTAAATCTTTAATCTAATTAAAAAATATTTAAAAAATTCAGTTTTATTACTTATTTTCATTTTTTGAGACATGGAGTCATATTAACAAGAATATTCCTATCCCAATCAGAGATATAAGGTCCCCATAAGCCCAGCAATATTAAGCAAGTAACCATACGAGCCCATTAAAAAATAAGTACAGCTCTCTTGGTTTTCTCCTTAACTTATATTATTTACTTCTCCAAAAGACTTTATCGCGTGTGTAGTTACTCTACTCAAGTGCTTGGAGATTGAGAAATCCGTACAGTATGCATAGTACAACGGAATATCAATAGTGTTAAAGTTGGATAAAAATTTGTCTACCAACAAGAGAAACACCCAGTTATAGGCCTCCACAATTTTTTTGTTTCTTAAATTTATAAAAAACTCTATTTTCCACTTTTACAAGGTACAAGTTCAAAAAAAAAAGATCTAACTTTCCTTTATTAACAAAACATAGGTTAGATAAGCGTAAAAAAGAAGTGCGACAAAGAACGCAGACGCTTCCATAATAATTTCGATTGGAAAGTTTCAACTACTTTATCAGTTCAATGTTTACGGGATTTATAACTTTTAAAAAAGTAGCAGCTTCCTTAGGATACGCCTCTTATCAAGCTGAAACTTCAAATGCGCCTCACTTCCTATAATTCCCAATAACATATTTAGTCAACTCTTTGATTAAACAAAAATAACCTTTTTTAAATAGAACTTTATTATTATACGTTATTTTCGATAATCTTTTAAGAACAAAGACATTATATTTGATAAAGTATTAATATATAAATATATTACTAATTTTTATAACTACTTTTATGTTCTAATTACGCATTAGTACAGACGAATAAAACTACTTACTGTTGTGAAGCTACACAAACTTTAAAGAGACTAAACCAACGGTGCTTACTAGCTTCAAAAATAACTGCAACTTGCTTTTTAGGTAGCCTACTACACCAAATTGATGAATTTAAAGAAGACTAAGCTAATTACAATTAAATATTTTTATTAACTGCATTTTTCCAATAAATTCCTCCAATAAGCAAAAACCTAACCCTAGAGACACCTGAAAAAGTGTCTACTATATTTGTTACTGAAAACTTAAATCTAATAATAAAACTTTTTAAGCTGCCTGAACTTCAATCTTTCAACCAAGCCCTATAGGAGAATCAAATTGTGCTTATCAAAAAGTTCAAAAAATATTGGAGCTGTTTAAGTTAAAAGTTAAGCAAATTTAATAAGCATGAAATTTACAACAAAGGCGTTAAAATTTTAGTCTTTTTGAAAGTAAAAATGTTAAAAAAAGCAGCGCTTGACGCAAACTCTCTCTTTTAAACTCACGTCTAAAAGACGTAACATCCGTAAAGAGAAACTTCAAAAAAGGAGAAAGTGTGTCCAACTTGGACAGACAAAAGGTGTTAGTCACGAAAGCTTATATTATAAACTATATGCATTCCATGATCTGACACCAGAAGGGTCAAGAAGTCCTTGCAATCTTAAAACCACTATCGCTTTAGGGCTCAACTTTCCTCCTCCACCTCCTTCTTTAGCGGTGAAAGACTGGAGAAGCTTTTGACAATGACTAGAGAAATCAACTTAGTATTCTACTTTGATGACTTCACTGGCAATTTTTTGCAAAAGTAAAACCTTTCTGACGAATAAGTCTTTCTTGCCTAAAAATGTCCCGGAGGAGCTTGTTGATGCTTATAAATGTTTGAGAAACTAATTTTTTTTTTTAGACCACATTCAGAAATTCTACAAGAATAAGAGATGAATCAAGTGGGTTTTCGAATCTACCAAAGAACTTTCTTAAAGGAACTTAAGAACAACAAACTGCTGAATGTGATCAATATTGATAAAAACCAAGGTCCTGCATTAATGCCAACAATGCAGTATGTAAATTGCTGTACCGACCATTTACAGAAAAATGCTTATCTCCAAATTCAGGAGTGCAATAAAGAGGGGGTATTGACAATGTGTACAGACAAAATCCTTGAGTTTTATCAGCTTGTAAGAAGGACAATGGCTAAAAATAATGATTTTATGAAACTGACCACAATTATTATTCATGATCTGTAAATGACTCAAATGACTTATTTTTACGGCTTAGCCAAAGTGCTCAAAAAGGATTTTTTTAGATGTGCACCAGACATTAGACCTCTGGTAGCTTGTGTTAACACATCTATCACTGGTTTGTCTAATCACTACACTACTATCCTATTACCCCATAATAGATACCATCCCTTCTTACATCAGGAATACCCGATGATATCTTGACTGCTATTCATGATACCAGCTTGTCTTCTAACGAGGAAGTAATATTTCTAGATATTTCTGCCTTATATACTTCTATCCCTACTCTAGCAGCATATAAGATAATTAAAGATATATTTTGGAGCATTATGGACCCATTCAGAGTGATTTGTTTGTGGAAGCTCTTCGTTTAATTCTAAGTACTAGTTATTTGGAATTAAATGATAATTTCTACATTTAGACGAAGGGATTTCCTATGGGGAACCCGGCCGCCCCTAGTATAGCAACATTTCACCTAGTTTACTATGAATCTACCAATTTATACCCCCCTTCCCGTTAAAAATTAATTTTGTATTTTGTAAAGGATGCATGATACCTCGGTTATATTGGTCGATAATGATAGCTTCGTAGAAAAAAAGCTCTGTCCATCCTTAATAATATTACAGGTCTATGATGGGTCAAAGAATCTATGAAATGGGAAAATACAATTCCTGGCATTTGTATTCATACCGATGGTAACGAAGTTATGGACATCTTCGGCGGAAAAGTATACAATTTATTTTTCTATCCTACCCCTCATTAGGCATATCTGCCAAGGTTATAAACGGTATTAGGAGAAGTCTGACTTCTAAATATTACAAACAAAATCTCTTCGAAAAGAATTTGTTTCCTGTAGCATAAAATTTTTCACTGGATTGTTAGAGTGGGGACATCCTAGAAAAAGGCTACATGAGATATTTAGATACGCCTTCTCGATATCCAATGAATAAGAGGTCAAAGATAACCACTATAAACCACACAAAACGGTTCTTTTTCCACAACAGATATGAAACAAACGGGCCGACGAGAAGGCAGATAAGAGATGCTCTTATCACCGATTTCATATCTGCTATGGCTAATGATTGTCCTTTAACCATTGGATATGCTAGACCTAAGAATGTCAGTGATCTTGTTGGACGAAACCGTTTGGTTGCTCGGAAAGTAGATCATTATAAATTAAAAAATGGTGTCTATTTAGCACTGATTCCTTTTTATGTTCCTAACCTAAATCCTATGTTCATGTGATTTATATTTGCAATGTTCCCAAACACCAAATTATTTTAGGAACTACTCTCCGATAAAAATTTTGAAAAGGTATATAAGGAGTTCAAAATACTCCCTATATGATTTTTCGCTTTGCCGCTAAAAAAGGGCCGCTCAAATTCCACTGACGAAGCCCATGAAGCAGAAAAAGTCCTAGATCAAGCTAATTTTCTGAACGATCAGTCAAGCTTGGTCCACGGATTTCTCTTGAAACTTTAGTAAAAACTTTTATTAATAAAATTTCTATACCGCATAGGGATTTTTTAATAAAAAGGAATAGTTTCAACATCTTCAAGACGCTCTGTGACAATTTTTTCGGAATTCACATGACTTTCTTTCTTTCTTTCTTTCTTTCACAATAACTTAATTGAGAGATTTAAATTAGACGCGCGCTTTTTAAACACTCACGTGCATGTATTATGCACTTAACCTTTAACAAATTATTCATTTAAAAGGTTATTATTAAAACATTTCTTAAGCGTGTATCCCTTGAATCTACTTCTTTTTATGAAGCTTAAATTAAATACAAAGTATAAACGCCCTAACGAATTGTAAAAAAATGCATCTGCACCCGAGGCAAAGAGATTGAAATTATTAAGAAGTTGATTTGATACAATACAGTAAATACTTTAAGCTGGTCAGCATTATAACAATTACTATCTACGTCGGTAGCCTACGATATCTGTGGATACCAAACGTAAAGTTTACATTCATACTTATGAATATTACCTCCATGCGCCATACATTCTTTAAAAGCTTGTCAAATTGATAACATGGCACGCAAATATCTGGTTTTATCGCTAGCATTCCCAGTTTAAGGTTAATAACCTTAATCAAAGTGGAAGTTCAGAAAGGTATGATATAGCTGAGCCAATTACACCCCAACTTAAAATTTTTCTTTATAGTCAACGATAAACTTAAAATATAAAGGAGTAGACCGCCAAGTAATCCCTTTCAATTTTATACACTTTCTATCAGTACGTAAAAAAAAAATAATAAAGCAGTAAAGGTTGTATTACCCGGACTGTAGCGTACTCTCTTTACAAAAGCTATATGTAGCCTTATAAAATCAAAACGAAAAGTCTATGAGTTCAATATTTATTTTCTATCTCTTAAGCTTGTAGCCCTATAGATATATTAATACCCACCTGTTAAGTTTATTGAATTATTGGGTGTTGTAAAATTTAACCACTTTGAAAAGTGTTGTAAATAAAAAAGAAAAAATAATAAAAAAGAAGTTCCAAACTTCATCATTCTTTAAACATTAACTTTTCTCTAAGAATAAGTTATTCGTAATAACAAAAATTAGATATTAACAATCTTTTTGAAAATATAATGGATTTAGTAAAATTATTAAAGTGCTACTTAAAGTGGAAATTAAAAAAAGCCTATTAGTTTCCCTAAAAATATATACTTCTTTTAGACTATCAATCTTTTCACAAAGTTCCCTACGACTAAAAACTTCTAATAAAGTAAGAATTATAACATTTTATTTTTGAAATTATTTAGAGCGAATACGAATTTTGGAGTTAAAACAAACATGCTGATAGGAGCCAAAAGGCCAGAAAAAGTAGCCGCCCAAGCATAGCTGGCCAAAAGCCTGCTTCCCTCAAGAACTGTTGAAGTATTTAAACCCAGAAACTGTAAAACTTCCTCGGGATTAACCCCAAAACAAAATAACTTGATACGCGTTAAAAAAACTATAATAATAGCGCTTGCCCAGTTCTAAGGCAGTAGTAGAGGAGAAAGACAGTTAAAACCCCATTAACACGTCTCCCTATAATAAAAGCAAGGCCATATCTGTAATCCCAATACTTACTGAAGTTTTGGCCGAGAAAATTTTACTAAAAAACAATACCTGTCTACTGCACTTATAAAAGTACGCCGGGCTGAATGAAAACAATACGACAAAAAAGTTTCCTTCTTTTGAGTGTCAAATTTATTACTTTCAGAACCGGTAAAAATATTGCTAAGTTTCACGAGTGTCAAAGCCGGTACACAACGAGCTGTGAAGGCAACAGTAACAGCATCCAAAGGCAGCCTAACTCTGCGAACCAAGCGCCCAAGTCCAAAAGCCACAACAAAATCAGGTGGAATGGAAAAGCTTAAAGATAGTTATAAAAAACAGTGTCATATATAAATATAATGATATAAGCAACCCTGAGCTGTGTATTAAAGAGAGAAGTATTATTAGAGGGACCGTCTCAGATAATTGAAAAGATACTACTGTCTTAAAACGATCGTTTTTAATGCAAGCATTCAAATCCTCGGCGCAATTATTAAAAAATTGGTTTAACTTTTCTTTAGAGTCTTTAAAGTTATGAAAAAGTTATTAAAGTTAAGTAGTTCAGCATTGGATTATAAAAACTTACAAAAGTGACTTGTACAACGCTTCTTCACTACAAAGTTATAAATTTCTGTGTACCGAAAAACCTTAAAAAGCTATTTTTAACGTATTCTAAAGTAGTTTTTGTATTTCCGCCTAAATAGAGCATATCGCAAAACTTTAAGTCGTTTACTAAACACTTCTTTTTGTTTAAATAGTGATAAATACCTTATTTTGTATATTAAGTAAATAGTTAAGATATTTAGTTAAAATTTCTTAAGTAAATCAATAAAAAAAAAATAAGTATAAAAGAAATACACAAAAAATAAGGCTGTAGTAGAACTACACATTTAAAAAAAGGAAAGTATTAATCTCTAACTAGATATTACAACTTCTAACTGTTCTACAAACGTGCATAAAAACGGAGGAATCAGTGCAGCGAAGTAGCGCTAATTGCCACAAGGTTTTACAAGTGTTAAACGTTTGGGAAGCCAAGTCGAGCGGTACTTGCAGGCTAAACTGACGGTCACGTTTTATGTACTTTAGCTTTCGTTAGGCGAGTTAAGTCACACACAGGCACACACGACCGAAGTCAGGGCTATTTTCTTTTAACTATTAGCTCGCAGTTCCTACTTGTCTCCTAAATTAATGCTAGCACGCTAAGAGTGACATGGAGTCCTGCTTAAATTGCACGCTCTTAATGTTCCTTTTGACTTTTTAGAAATACTTTGGTTAGTTTAAACGGTCATCATAATAAGTGCAGTTAAGAATAAAACCGTTTTTAAATGAAAATACCACCTGCTCTCATGTCGCTCCCAAGTAAAACACCTATAGCCCATCATTCCCTAAGCTATTGTGGCGGCACACTTGTATTAGTAATGGCGAAAAATTAAGAATAAACCAAGTTTAGTATTATCTACTTTATGTTTCGCTGGACAAAGTTTGAACTAATCGTAACATATGCACTTGTTGTCCAAGTCTGAACTCACCGCAATAGCGTTCTCGCCCACAGCGCGACTAAGGAAACCACTACGTGTTTTATCATACGCATCATCACCCTTTTTGAACGGATAGCTAAGCACGCTAACTTCCTTCTTGCAGGAAATCCATCTACGCTTATAATAAAGCAGCGTAAGTTATAAAAAGCAAAAAAATTGAAGGTAAAAAAATTACAGAAGAAAGCTATAATTTTCTAAATTTAAACTTATTTGTACCCGTTAGAGGATTGCTACCTTAATGTTTTTGCTCCCATCAAAGGTGGTAATCAGATGTCGTGGTCCCGTAAGGTTGGTTGTCTGCTAAAGGCCTCCGCGGGTCATATTTGCAGCCCCGGTAGTTGGCGGTATGTATCTCGCCGTAATTCGCAAATCTAGCAGGCGAGTCTCGTGTTTTGGTATACTCCGCGGGGGCAAGTGTACTTTCAACGCATTAACGCACCGAGGTGTCGCAGCGCAAAAGCTTGCGGGGTGGCCAAAGATCTAACAATGGTGGCACTGACCAATGCGACTGCTTTTTCGAAGTTTCTTCAATTTGAAGATGGGCAATAGTCTTCAAATTTATTAGCTTTTGTCGTTCCTTTCTGAAATATGCACCAGCACTAATTTATAACGAGCACTTATTCCACTCGCCATTGACAGCGTCCTCAGTGTGCAACCGTGCAGCTCGGAGGGGTGCGATGCCTTGCGAGCGCAGGTCCGCCTCCACGGTGGTCCTGTCGAGTTCACAATAAAATTCACGGAAAACAAGTTTGTAGAGCTAGTCTTGAGATGACTAATAATGAAAAAAAAATTGTAATTTCTTGCTGCGTATTAACGCTGCGATTGCGCGGTATTCTTAAGCTGTGGTCGGAAATATTTTACTTCGGAGAAGCTTATCTCTTGACCTCGGGATCGGGGAGCCGCAGAATTGTAAGAGTTGTACAAAAAAAAGCCACTTTTGTTTTTAACATAGGGTAATATGAGGATTTCCCTCTTTACGAGTTCGCAGGGGAGTGCTGCAGTAGATGGTCGTTTATTATAATAGGGTTAGTGCCAGAAGCGCTGCCCATCTCCTAGTTAACGGTCCCGTGTAAAGCTCTTAAGAGCTTCTCTGGTCTCTATTGAGTTTCAGATTGTCATTACCTTTGTCGGAGCTATTATTATTTTTATTATAAGGATTAAACTTAACTACAATTTTATTACTAATATTTCTATTTTTATTACCGCATATATTTTTTGCTATTACTGTTGCTAACAGTTATATTATTATTAAAAAAGCTATTACGGGAACTATTAGCCGCAAGTTTATTGCTACTACTACTATTAATCTTAATATTACCTACTCACCAATGACTATACTCGTCTTTTGTAACCTTTAGAGTCTCCCTCTCTTCTAGTATACCATCGAAAATATCTGTTTGATTTATAATTTGTAAGGTCGAAAATACAATATTATTGTTAGTTATATTATCAAAAGGCTCCCTATGCCTTTTCAACTTATTTTTGTCCCGAGTTATTTTAGTAAACTTCAAGAAGTACTGCTTTTGTAGAATCTAACTTTTCTCTGAGTTCCTCATTTATAGCCAATAAGTTACTATGAATGCTCGAAGCTCTTCATTAGAGAAGGAACTCATATTCTTAAAAGTTTATATACATAGGTTTAAAAAGAAATAGAATTTGAAAGAAATAAAAATATATTAGTAAATTAAAAAAAATAATATATATATACGGTCGGTAATATAAGTTCAGTAATCAATATTTACGTAGTTTAAGTTTTCTAATATGTATAATTACTTTTAAATAAATCGCTATGCTAATAAGTTAAATATAAGAAGTTGAAGTGCGCAAGCCACGTTCACTGCCCGGCGGTTTGACAAAGCGGAAAAGTCTACTTGATTAGAATTTACGAGGGGGAGGTTAGCGACTATCAAAGACCGAAAAAGAGTTGGGTCGGTGAGAATCGAATCCACGGCGTTGAGTGTGCGCGTCAAAGTTCCTAACCGCTGGGTTACGACGACTAACTCTGTATGATGGTTTTACGTATTAAACTGTTATACTTACCCCGTACAATAACCGATTATAGTTGCGTAACCCTTTTTTATTTAACATACCTAGCGTTGTTAAGTTGTAAGACAGGCGCTAAATATACCCATTTTTATTGTAATTTGTAATTTGTAAATGGTTCATACTGGGAGAACAAAAATTAGAGTAATGTCCGTTCTTTCACCTTAACCACACCATTTTTAACTAATTTTTTATAAAACTGTAAAAGAAGAGTAGTTCTTGATTAGGTCTAATGGTAAATGAACTTAAAACAATTACCAATCATGAGTCACATTAAACCTAAAAATTAAGACCCCCCTACATTATTGCTTTAATTAAACGCGTGAATTTAGGTTCAATGGAGTAAGAGTAATTTTAAAGAGCTAATTAACAAAATTTTTATATATATAAAGTGCCATTTTTTATCGAAAAAGTGAATTAAAGATCTAACTAATTATAATATTCGTATTTAATTTAAGCAGTTTAAGTTATAGCAGCTATAACAATTGTAAGTATATTTTTGTGTATATAAAGTGTAGGCTATTAATGATTTAGTTGCTATATATATATTTATATGAAATTGTGTTAACGCATACTTGACAATGTGCTCACCATTTTATTAAAAGCTCGTATATTCGGTAGTTTTCATTTCGCCCCGATCGAGCTATAGGAAATACCAGTAATAATAAAGGTGGTATGATTTCTAAATTTGTATTCAGTTGCTGATGCTACAATCTAGCATGCACCTCTATCATTATTTTCATTGGATATTATTGTGTTAACTGCGACTAATGCATTAACCATTCATAATTTTTGTTCTCTCATAGAAAGCACTCTTCGCGTATTTTCTCTTTAAGTTACCTTTCTGCATCGGTTTTAAGGTTCTGCATTTATTTTGCTTTCTTTCCTTAAGTTCTATTTCCGCCTGTACAAAGCTGGTTGTGTATCTACTCTCGCTTTAAGATTTTAGTACTGTTAATTATATTTGCTCTAATTATTAGTTTACTTTATTTTTTTTCTTAGTTCATGTTTTAACTCTTTTAAGTTCATCGTTTAAGCCCTTATTGTCGTTAGAGCATTTTAAGATCTTCAGGGTCGTAAAAGCTGATGCCTACCGTTTTTTAGCCTCTACTTTGTATAGTGTGTACATATTAAAGATATTCATACAAACAAGCTGTCAAATTATTTTATCCTATTATCGTGAACAGCCTATTTAAAGGCCCCCTGAGCTGATTGAGATTTAAATTGTGTTCTCCGTATAGTGTTTTATTTAGTTTGGGCTTCGCCATTATTAACATTCTGGCGTTTACTACACTGTTGTTCGTTTTATAGGGTAGAGTGTGATAATGGTCTCTTAATACCTTGCAACTTAAATTTGATATGCTTCTAATTAGTTCCTTTTGTTTTTTTTTAAATATTTATAGCATTCGATCTAAGTGTGTTTTCATCACTTATTTTTTTTGTCTGCCTTTTCAGTAGTTAGAGGCAAGAGGGGGTTTGGTTAAGTAGGGTTTAGTAATATATTTGAGTAAAGAAAAGTATACTTTCTCTTTTTTTTTATTAAAAAATTCTTCTTTTCGTTGTTTTTAATAGTGGATGCATGTTCTGATGAAATGGACGATGGCACTGTTATTTAGTGACTGTTTTTTATTAACTCTTTTTTTTATTTTTTTGCAGCCATCGTTGGGATGTTGTTGGTTTGCGTAAACTGGTTTGGTTTTATTGTACACATGTTATTATAACATATTACAGTTGCCTTTTTCCTGAGTCATATGTTTCTTCGTAGCCTTACTATCTTCAGCATTGTGTTGAATTGGTTGTCGTGGTCATGTGCTGCTTTAGCAGTTTGACATTTGTTCCAGTTTCCTTGTATTGCTGATGTCACTCTGTTTGAATGGGTAACTATTTTTAAACTATATTATGTTCTTTAATTTTATAATCCTTTTAGTTTTTAGGCTTTTATGTTCTGAATTTGCATGCCGAAGAGTAGGTTGCCTGTTCTAAATTGAGGATTAATTTTCTGTTCATGCATGTGTACTATGACTTTGCAAACGAGAAGTTTTGGGCGTTTCCATGTACTTTTTCATTTTTAATCATTTTTTACTGTTGAGAAAAATGGCTTGTGTAAAAGGCTGCTTTTGCCATTGCTGTGTGTTATTACTGAATGCTTTTAAAAGTTAGTAAGCCTTAAGCTTTATAATTTGCCGCCCTATTACCAATTTTAGCTGAAGATAACTTAAAACGACTGTAGAAGTCCTTTGAGAGATTCCAAGGGAAAAAATGCAATACCGATCTGCGTATCAAAAGACTTTTTTTTGCCGTCCTTTGTTAAAAATAATTGAAGAGATTTTTGGTCAAAAAAAATGGTTAAGCGCATTATCCGTATAACACCCTGATTTGTCGGGTAAGGCCTGCATCTTTAGAAGGAATGGTAAAAATACTGCATCAGGGTAAAAAGAGACATATATTTTCAATCTAATACTTAACTATATAAATGGTGATTACTCTAAATTAACACTAAAAGCCCATACGTTCTTAGCCTAAGCGTTTTATATGGTTACTTTTGAATTGATACAGTGTAGAATTTGCTTTACTGTTAGTTTGTACTTTTATTAAGTTATAGTTTAAATCAAATTTGTATAATATGACATTGAAAGTAACTAACTTAGAGAAGTTAGCGTAACTTTTAAATAATGCTTGTATAATACCTAATATGCATATCTCGCCTATATTGGAATGCTCCTTCGTTTTTTGCTTTAATCGTTTTGTAATTCTGGCGCACTCTGATTTCTATTTGGCCTTGTTGAAACATACCTGTTAACATGCTTTTCTTAAAACGTATATTTCGTCTTCCTCTCTTTTTTCCAAGGCAGTTACTACAACTTTAAACTGGCTTCCGTTATATCTTTGATTGGTTATGTCTGTAACTAAGGCTTTACTTAACAAATTTCATTTTAACAGTTAAAACTCTTCTTTTCTGATTAGGATGATCACAATGTCAATTTTTCGACCACTTTAAAACTTTAGGGAAGAAATACAACCGTTTACTTTACAATGGCTCTTTTTTAGTAAAAGACGTTATAGAACTTAAATTTCTACTATGTAAGATATATTCGTAACATAATGAAATATTAACACTAGGTATGCGTGTTAACATATTTTGCACGCGGCATGGAAAAGTTGGCATCTTATACTATAACTTTTAAAATATTATAACTCGGGAGCTGTCAATACCCTATATTTCCTTTACTGTTTTACAACTAATACTATGGAGTGTGCCAACCGTTCCCCCGGCCGTACTCTAAACCAGTTTTATAATTGTGTTTGTCCCCCCGAGAACCACTTTTATTAATCCTTTCTGGACGTTTGGTAACTTTTTTTATATGCTTTTTTCTTCTTTTCGGCTGTGGTTACTGCGATTTTGGCAGAATATGATGAATCTAAGAGAAAAACTTAATGGATATAATATACTAAAGAATTGAATATATGATTTCAAAAGAGTAAGTTCTTATTGCGCTAAGTCAAAGCCTACACCGGACACGCTTGGAGTGGCCTAGTTGCCATTCTGTATTTTAAAGGGCGGAAGGTTCAAAGGTCACTCACTTTTCAGAAACAGAGTAAATGGTTCCTTTAAATTGTAATTCCTTAAATAGATTAATTTTTTTTAGACAAATTGGATCACACGCGTCCGTCAATATTATGGATTTATTATAAACAAGAAAAAGATAAAATTACAAAGTATTAAGTAGCTAAGAGAAAAGCGAGTATAAGATATATACACTATTTTCGACTACTAACAGCTAAAATTCATAGTATATAGTCACCTGTGTGATATGAATTAAAAGATTGTATAATGGCAAGTTTTAGGAAGCTTAACCTTTTAAAATAAAAAAATAAGGAGCATAAGCCTAAAGATGGCATATTACCGACATCGCTAGTTTTTTTTTTAATTTTACGTAATTTTTGTATTAGTTGCAGTCTATTCACAATAAAAGTCGCTAATGATGTGTATACTTTTTCAAAAAAAATTTACTAGTATGTTTTGCATGTGGTTTAGTGCGCTAGCTTTGCTTTTTAGCGACAACAAATTGTTCAACATACATCGCTAGCGAAGTATATGCGGATCTCTTAAGATAGAATGTTATTTATAACAACCAGAGGAAGCATACCTGATGTATGGATTACTTGCTTATTTCTCTAATTTTTTTTTCATAGGATTAGCGTGGGTATCCTCAAGCGATTAATGCTTATTCTTTAAAATATTTATGAGTTCTAACTTAATTCTATTATTTATTTGCAAGGTCATACTTTCAACCAGCTAAGTATATACAAGGTTTTAAGACAGTGGCAATCCTTCTCTAAATTGCTAGACTGTAGACGATATGTGGTTAATAACTGGGGCGCCTCCAATAACTTTCTTAATGCCAATGTCTGTTGTGTACGTGTTCAAATACGTACTTGAACAATAGTCGCTTCAAGAACTTGTAAACCTGGCTAAACGCAACGTGCTTTAAGTGGCTGCTCTTTTCATATTCGTATATACATTAGTTAGAAGGCTTTTAAAAAGAGTAATGCTTTTGCGATCAAGTTTTTTAAAATATAGTAAGGCTAAGCAATCTAATCTCGATAACACACAGTATTTACGCAAGTCTTTAATAAATACAAATTAAAATTTTCCTTTATCTGCGCGAGGGGTTGTATATTACAAACCACATTTCTTACAAAAACATGGACATGCCATTTACAATAAATTATGTACCTTTTATATTTAATTGCGTTATAATTCAGATTTAATATACAAATAAGATTAATAGTATTAATAATTACTAATATTTCAAATTTACTTATTTCAATTATAATATGAACCATCCAATTACCTTACGAATCCATAAAAAATATTATTTTTATAGCGGTTTCATATTGGAGGATTCCCATATAATCTATAGTTTTTCTTTTAGAAAACTTTGAAAGATGTTATTTTGCACCAAGATTAACATTTTTGCGGTTTTATTAGAAAGTCTAAGTAAAACCTTCACCTTAAGAAATTTCAAAGTGAAATAAGGTAAATTTCTTATAGAATTTAGATTATTAATCTTTTCTTGGAAATAATACTTTCATATTGGTTTGGTTTTTTTTAATGCCTTTATGTTACTATATTTCTTTAAAGAAAACTATAAATTTTTATTAAAATTACTAAGAAAGGCAATCTTTTATTCCACTTATTAGGAAAGTTGTTTTTTATTTGTAAGAAGTACAAATCTATAAACAGAGAACGGCTAACTAAGTTCAGTTAAGTTGCAACTGAGATGAGAAATAGATAAGTTAATTATAATAACTTTTACTATAATGCAACTCTTATAAGGCAACTGTAACAAACTTAAGTCCTAAAAATATAATTTTTTACTTTAAATTCAATTTTTTTTTGGAAAAAAAGAAGATAATTTCTTCATTCCAGTTTTATCGGAGGACGCGAGCTTCATTAAATTTTTTGCAGTTTTTGGTTGCTTTTTTAAAAATCCACAAATAAATAATAATAATAAATAAATAAATTAACTTTAAAGATTTGAACATCCTCATTCATATAATCTTCAAGAGGGGCAGACGAAAGTATCTTTTTATCACGCTTTTCCAAAAAATCTTCTTTAAAATTGATGCTATTGATTTGTTATTAAAGTATAATAATAATAATAATGATAAATAACCCCAAACTTTCCTGCAATTTATATATTACAAAGTCTGGTAAATACTCTCCCAACGTATCCACTGCGTAAGCGATGTGATGAACTAAGTTAAAATTATAACTAACAAATTGTATTATATATTAAAATTAGAAAAATAGTACTATTTGGCTGAAAACTTGTGAAATTATTATATTTTTCCTTTAAATTATAACTCGAAGATGTCCCAAGTTGTAAATTAAGCTCGGCATTAAGCTTTGAGATCCGCATGACCTTAAAATTCACAATTATTTACATAATTACGGTGAAAGTTTCTTACAAAAAAAGTATAAAAAATTAATTATATTTAATATTTAACAGATAACATAGCAGTCTCCTTTGCTTTAAAAAAAAAAAACCTCAATAACTGTGATAAGAAGATCTCTCTAATATATACAGTAACCTTATGCTTATAAAAATAAAACATTAAAAATAATAAGCAAGCTACTAAAACTGAAAAAAATAAGTTATCATGAAACATACAACACCTTTAACTTACACCAGTCAAGTAATTTAGTTAAACAAAGTTTGTATGTCTTTCCCCCTTGGAACTCTAAAAGCGAAAAAAATATTAAAATAATTATTTAAAGTTAACTAAATTTAAAACCTTTTACTTCACAAATATAGCTTAGCTCTCTAAAGCTACCTCATAAAAAAATAATAATTAATGGCTCAGAAAAATTGAAATTTAAGTAAAAAGAAGTTATTTGTTACAAACATAATAGCTATATAAAAACTAAGAAATGTTGAAAGCAACTTGCATTTCTGAAGCCAGGCATAGCCTGGATGTGCTCCACTATACAATATTTGTTCCAAAGTCATATAAGAAGGCTATGTATATTATTTTTAATTTAAAAATATAGGAAATCAAGTATAAATTCTTACACGGTCTGTAAAAATTTTTAATAGTAGAGGCAAAATTAATAGTAATGGATCAATTTTTGTGGCTACTAAAAAACTCCCATCTTGACATACATAATCATTTATAAAAAAAGAGCACAAAGTTGGTTTGTAGTGACGAAGTTCATATAAAACTGTTTGACTTTCAGATAATAAAAATTTTTTAGGCCGCAGAGTAACGGGATGAGGCAAATTTATAAAAGTACAGTGATCGGAATGAAGGATAGAATCTTCTGTTTATGCAAATATAATAGGAGTTAAGGTTGAAATTCAAAAATAATATAACATAAAACTATCTCTAATACTTAGTATTAATTTATTTTTATTAATAATCAAACTAATCTTAAATAATAACCCTACCGCAAATCATAAGCCACTGCCTAGGCTGATTAGACATATCCAAGGTACATAAAACTAAACAAAAAAGATATAACTATTATCAACCAAAGAGCCGGAGATAGTACTAGAAGTAAGTACACAGAAAACAACTAAAAAAAAGTTAAAGTTATAGAAATGGGAGTAAGTGCTTCCCTATTGGAGGTAAAGAGCAATGATGTGCGCCCACTTGAGGAATAAATGATTTTTTTTCTTAGTACTTTTTATGTTACGTTTTACTAAACTTCTGATACTGTGCCTCACAAGTGTATATAACTGTAATGACCGAGACCTTAAATGTTAATGAAGCTACTACGGTGTATCATTTACGGTGCCTTCAAAGCTATGGCTTGCTATCTTCTAACTTGACAGAGGTTACCCATTTCTATATTGTAAGCAGTAGTTTTTTTACTTTATAACAGTTATCAGAAACGATATGTGAATTTAACAAAACCGTTATGAAACTCGACGGCAAACTTCGCTCTTTAGAAAAAAAAATGATGCTACTGTATACGCCCTTTCGCTCTTCCTTGTACTCTTACCACCAGTACCAAAGTTGCCTGCACAAATAATTTATTCGAGTTGTGAGTAAAATAAGTTGATTTTTTGCACTTATTATGACATATGAAAAAGTTTACTTTTTTATTAAGCTTTACTTATTTTAAATTTTTAGCATAAAAGCATAAAAAGGGTAATACTTTGCAAATCAATGGCTCGTGGTATCAAGGCTAATTGTTTAAGCTATTTTTTCTATAACTTTTAAATTGACCTTGAAAATGCCTTTTTATTTTTTAGTAGCTACCTTATAATAGCTTTGAAAGTCATGAAATAAGTCACTTTTTTTTTCAAAGGCGTTCTCAGCATTTTCAAGTTACGCTCGTCTATACTTTTATAGACAAGTTATAGAAGCAATAGCAGTTTTCTTTAAATAAATAACTTAGTCCTGCAGTTTTATAACCAATTTTTACTCTTTGTTTTACGAAAGAGATCCTCAGTTCCAAGTGTATTTAGAGTTTCTTCTATTAAAGAATTTGTAACTGTTAATTTATAATAATCAGTACTCTTTTCCAACCAAATTAGATCATTCAATCCAAAGATATAAAATTTGTAAATTTTTTTTTTTTTTTTTTTTTTTTTTTATTAAACCACCAATATTCAGTCGTTCGCAATTCTAAAGTACGAGTACATAGGTGTAATAGTAACTTTAGCTGAAATTACAGTCGAAAGGCTTTCACATTAAATAATTAAAACAATAATTTAAATAAAGCAACTTAACTAAGTCTATTTTCTTAAAAATTTAGGGATTTTGTTACGAATGATCCTACATAAGAGACAAGTTTAGAAAACAACAGCCATCGTGTGATAAACACGAATTTAACGTGAAAACCTATAGATTTGCTTTAAACTTGTTTTTTTATTATAAACGTTAGTTTTCTGGTGCTCGTTCATGTCAATCTCCTAATGAGAGGTAAGAGAAAAGCAATAGAAAAAAGCAAGAAAAGAAACATGAAATAAGGTTACCTTTTTATTATTCATTTATATTATAACTCTAATACGCTACAGCCTCTCCTTTTTAAGGCCTCAAAAACTGCTTAATTCAATTTTCGTTGCAATGTAACATCGATAGATAGGGTGTTCAGGTATCAATCTTAAACAAGTTGATGTCGAGGCTCCTGTAGTTTTTGTATATTCCTGTATCACAAGTTTCACTCGTATTAATAGTTTTAGAATGAGCCAAATCTTTTCATAATTCTCTTGGGCTATACGTTAAAATAATTAATAGGGTTTTCACTATTTAAGTCGCGAAGAAAGATAAAGCTTGGAAAAACCATAGCTCATCTAAGTTAATTTTCAGTGTAGAGCCTCGTACAGAGTTTTGTAACCTGGGAAGAAGCAATATGATGACCCCAAAGGTTCGAAGGTCATCTTTGGTCTGATATATGAACCAAAAAAAATTGTGATTTTTGTAAGAAATGTTCCTGACAATAATTTTTTCTCCGTTAAATTACATATGTATAGGGTTGTAACGCTTAATAAATTTTAGACCTCGTTGCTTTACATTTTATTCCCTTATTTTCTATTTTTTGTTTGTTAGATAGTGGTAAAATAAAGTTGAAGCTTGATTTGTTAAAAGTGGCGACTTTTCTGGCAGAGAGGTGGGGTATAGTAGTTATCACCAGAGCTTGAGCCTTTCTTTTCGTGCTTGCACATTTTAGGAAGGATTCAATAAGAAAAGGAGGTACCCTGTATTATTAGGCTGTGCATTTTATTTGAGATCCGCATGTTAAATTCATTAAAAAGTCACTTTCAATTTTAAAAGAACAGCGCCTATGAACTTGTTGCTAAGTTGCCGTGTCATGTGCTTGGTGAACTTAGAGTTTGCTGAGCATGAATTGGTCCCTTTTGGACCCATTTGGTTTCATAGGTGATATGGTTTTGCTCTACATAATTCTGTAATCCCCTAAGTATACCTACCTCTGCTACTTCGCTAGTACAGGGTAATGTAAACTTATTGGGTAATACTCCGCGGTTTTTAAGTTTTGGTAAAATAGTAACCATGGTCACATTTCATCCATCTGGAAATAGTATTACCTCTTTATTATTTTTTTATAATTGATTTGTACAGATGCTCGGTAATATCGAGCACAGACTGCTTGACTTAGGAAAAACTTTATATAATCATTCTTGGATCGAATTCAGTTTCACAGTTCATTTAATAATTAACTTTTACGTCTGCCTGTAAAGGTATAACAAAACCATAATTGCGCGTTTAAAGCTCATCGCGAAAACTACCTCTTTATTACTATTAATCTTATATATATATGCTTTACAAAAATAAACAAAAAATAACAATGCAAAATTTCAAGTATAACCAATCACTTAGCTATCTTTAGGGCTTCGAAAATGGTAGTCAGAGGATCAAATTGAGGTCTTGACGTAAACAAACCATGCAACGTAGCACCCTGCTTTTATCTTACTTGAAGCAAGGATACCATAGTCTGCTAGTCGAAGAACCAGCCAGTAGGCTAGTATGTCATAAATGACTGGATACACAATACGTACAAGTGTGGCATGTTGTGTAACACTAGTTTACTCTTAGCATGAAGTAAAAGATACAGTATTTCAGCCGCCACTTGGACCTTCGCCGCTATATAGTTAATGTGCGGCCGCGATGACAGGCCTAATAACAATAACGAGCCCCAAATATTTCTTTTGGGGACACCAAAAATTACTATGACACAATGATAAGCAGTAGCGGTAGCGCAGTGCATTTTTTTTAAATTAAAATGGGCTTTGCATTTTCTGCAGAAATACTTTTCAAATAATGGCAAGCGCTACCAGGTAGCACTGCAAATGCCGGCGGAAATAAGGTTAGCGACTAAAATAAGGAGTAAATCACCGCGTCCCGCTTGTGGGAAAGTCGGGCCGTGGCACGCCGTGCACACAAAGTACAGAGAGTAAGATTATAGAGGTGGGTCTTATGAAAAACCGCCCTTTAATTGTTTTGGGATAGAGTGTACATTCAAACTTCAGACTTAAGGTAAGTGCTTACACTTGAAACTGCAGAGATGGCGGCTATGGTCCGCAATTTGTAAACCTAGCCCTTTATTGAGGAAAAGATCCCAGTTTATGTTTTAACGCAAATTACCATTTTTAGGTAATTTTATGATTATTATAGATTATTTCATTGCTTAGTGGTTAGTATATAATGAAGTTCACGGAAAATAAACCGGCAGTGGTGCTAATTTTTAGTGCTTTTTTGTTTTAATCACATCTGTACATCTCTCTCTCTCTATATATATATATACATTTATTTACAATTAATTTTAAAGAGCTTAATGGTTTAGATACCCTAACACGCTTAGGTGCGTTTCGACAAAGAAAAAAAGGCATTAATTATTCTTTCTGCCAAGCGGAGGAAATATACCGTCGTTAAATGCCCTTGCCAAATCATACTTGGAACTCTGAAAGAGCATGGCTGGCGTCTGTATACAGTTTTAAGCGGCGCGGTATGACAACTTATTTTAGTTACTTCGCAAAACGGTTAAGAAGCCGATAGACCTGTTATTTTTTGGGGTAAAGACTGGTGGCAGTGTCCTTGGGAGCATAACAACAGCAGCTGTCTTTCATTAGATCGTAGTGTCTTCCATCTCGATTAAAACTTTTTTTTTTAACTGTGGAGATTGGCTCAAGCTGCTACTCAACGCCAGGGAAAAAGTTCCGGTTCGCAAAACATCATTCTGCAACTAAGTAAGCTGAAGACCAACACTGAGAGGTGGGGTGATCGAAAAAGAACTGTCGCTTCATTTACGTTGCCTTCTAGAGAATATATTGGTGTGAATATTAAAAAATAGTCACATAACGCAACCTTACACGCAATTAAACAACTCAAAAATTTTATTTTAAGGCAAACTATCAATAAAAATATAAAATAACAAGAAAGAGAAACAACTTTATCAGAAAAACCAATGGCTTCTCTGTTTATTTTGTTAAGATATATATTTTAAAAAATAATTTAAGAAACCTGCATTGACATGAGAATTGTATTTGCTTGCATGAATTATATTAGCAAGTGTCTTTATAAAATGCAAAAAATTTCAGTTAAATTAATTATGTAAAATCTTGTTATAATCTTGTTGTGACCTTGTACTACCCTAGCTAAGTTAAAATTTTTTAAAAAAGAATGTTTTTGGTAAAAAGTGGTTTCGTAATATATTAGCTTTGTTTTTATTTTCAGGCTTTATATGTTTTATATTGTAGTTTCTGCGCTCAAGTGATTGTTTAGCATAATGGTACGCGATATTGATATGTCTTAATCTTCTTGAAGAAATATTTTTATTAAAAATTGTTATTTACAGTCTCGTTTACCTGTATAAATCCTACAGTAATAGGTGTACCAGGAAATAGTTTTTTTTAAATATTTTTATTGGCTATGGTATTAATGACAGCTTTACTAAGAGCTATATATTCAGGTTCACAAAAGAGTTATAGATAGTGCGGTTCTAGTCTTTTACTCTATCGGATTCCCATTTTGATATATTTTAAATTACCAATGTGGAAAGTTAATCGTAATTGTGAACCCAACAAGAGATCACAGTAGCATTTCTATTATATTGTTTGTAGAAAAATTATTACTAATTATAAGTTTCGTATCACGTGTTGGTAGAGATAACCTGAAGTCCTACTGGCAGTTCTATGTTCCTTGTTGCTGTTTCAATGAATATCTAGTTAATATGCTTTATTTGGCCTTGTCCTATAAGGGATGATCTAAAATAAACCTGCAAGAGATTTACATCCGTATATTGTTGCCGTCAGTTTTAATAAAAAATTTAAGTTTTGTAAAGAGATAAAAGTTACATCCCAGTTTGTGTTTATACAAACTTTTTTGAAGGTTACTTATAATATTGCATAGTCTCAAATAACTTTGATATCCAAACCCCAATTTTTATATAATAGAATTGCGTCCTTAATCTCATATTTTTATCATATCACTAAATTTTTGGCGTCTCTGTAACGCTTTTTTATAACACCCTCGGTTTCATTGAAGTAGCATCCATTTAGTAATCGTTTTTCTTCCGCGCTAGTCATTTATTGATTGAACACATACCTTGAGGTATACAAGTGTAAAATGGCTTATCAAAATTTTTGTTTGTAGGGAACTTGTACACGAGCCACCAGACCAGAAAAATGCCAGTTGGCACCAGCGGAGCTCGAACACCCCGACCTTGGGATTGCGCGACAATGCCCTAACCACTTAGCTACGCTAATAACTCACAACTTCCGTCGATAAATTATATTTGCATCTTTGTTATGTATGCTAGAAAGAGGTAGTTCTATTAGCAATATGAAACGGCATCTCTCTATAATACGCAATATTATATGGTAAATGTAAAGATTCTTTTAATAAAACTGGAGAGTAAATTTCATTGTAATAAGTACCAGCTATTTCTTAACAACTTTTCGCAGTCAGTCTTGCTATATATTAGTTGTTACTTTTCTTCCTGTAAAATGTCCATGTTGCAAATAACGTTCTTTCTATGAAGAACTTCATCCGCGGTAATAAACTTAAATTCATTGTGCTTAAATAATATTCTTTGGCGGCAGCACCATGTATTTTGTTTTGTCTTCCAAATTATTTGTTTCACTAAAGCAAAATAGGTTATTGCTTGATATTTATCCTCATTATACTCTTTTAAAGAATACCTAGGTCCTCATCATAAACCTTAAAATTACTTTTATTAAAAACATAAACATTTATTTAATATATATTTTTAGGGGCAACTTTTGAAGTTATAATTAAAGAGTTTGTATTATCTCTTGAATATATATATCAGAAACCTCTGATTTTAATAAAAAGTATCAAGCATAATTAAGAGTGTTTAGATGGTTTACAAAACATATTTTCGGAAAGTAAATAATAAATTTTTATTGATTTAGTCTAAATTATTTAAATTTGTTTCTATTTTATTAATGCTCTGACTGATAGCAAATAGAAACGGCTTTCCTTTTAATTTTTGGTTGTATAAAAGATTTGTGAACAGAAGAAAGAGGCTTCAAATTTATAAAATTGGGTTAACCAGAAGAACTAGTTGAATAGTTTCGTTCGTGTGTATGTTTTCATTAAAGCCTGTTTTTTTTTCAATTTTGTTATTTTCTGCTAATTTTGGAATGTCCTCTTTTATGATTTTTGTGTTAGTCTCATTATAATTTTTGGTACTGGATAGTTGTCGGTTATAAGTAAGAGTTTGAAGTAATGTGATCCCTAGGATGGCGCCATCACTGGTAGTGGCTATAAAAGCGTAAATATATGTATAAAAAATTTTATTAGTCAAATAATTTATATAACACAGTAAATAGGCTGCCCTTTATACCACAAAACGTTCCAAGCAGGAAACAAAGAGCAGAAAAATAAATCCCCTGTGCTATCTCTGTTTATATCAATT